ACTTTGAAGTCCTGCAGCCACAGGTTTAAAAGCGGATCAAGCTATTGTGTTAGCCACGCGACGATAACCCAAAAGAAATGGACGCACGGAGGGAAATACACTGATTTTTGGCACCGGGGAAATGTCCTTTTTTCATATAAAATAATCCCCCCGCTCGTTAACGGGAGCATTTAAAATCCCAGTTCAGCACATTTTTTTAAAAAGCATTCAGCTCAGGTACAAAACACAGCCACTGGGTAAGGCTGATTAAAAGTGAACTAAACCACTGTCTCTTACTGGTCACCGAGATGAGATATGACCACAAACGACTGAAATGCTGTTCGCCGACCGACCCGTGTGTCAGAAAACAGACGTTTTTCACAGTTACTTCAGTTTGACTACTTAACTGTTTCACTTTAAACCTGCTTTCGCAGCTCGTTTGTTCTGCTTGTAACACAACTAAACTGACCTTGGGTCACAGCTAGCTCTGTTGGGAAGTGCTTTGTGTTTAACCGCTGAAGTTACAGCTTCGTCATCAAGTCGAACCACTGAAAAACACGACTTTTAAAAATCATGCGCCTTTCAACTCGTCGAAAAAACACGAGTTTCGGTGTCCACGTCAACGGCTAGCGTTGTTGTACACGTCTGACCGCTCCGAGCCCGGTTCACAGAAATATTCATTAGAGTCAAAGTAGCTCAGCTTCAGCTCAGTCGACAAACTTACCTGCGAAGAGGCTCAACAGTGAGACACACAACCGGGCCGCCGAAAGCTCCATTCCTGCTCAACTATTCCGCCGCTTGTTCAGTGAAACTTGGTGAAGAACTTGTGCTGAATTTGAAGTGAGACTCGGCAGCTCAGCCCCGACACAGCATCCAAACTCCACACCGCCTCCTCCTTGTCCTCCACTCTGTGCAGGTGCACAGCGAAGCGCGCCGCACTGCGTCACGTGACCGCCGCTTGGCCTATCCATCCCACGACCAGCGACGCCCCCTGCCGGTGCCCATGCTACGGTTCGCTCAACCTGCCCGTGTCTTCTTATCCGCTGGATCTTTGAAGAATGATTTACGGTACAACGGCACTACTCTGTGTGTGTCCCAGCCAGAGGCCCTCACGGACCTTTCCTTCAATGGTTCTCTAAAGATTCCGCTTCAGTCAATCAGGGAACTTTTCTTCACGGAAGTTTATTTTGTGAAACCACAAGAGGATGTGCTGGAAGAGAACTGACATATAAAATATTGGATACAGAGTCCAACAATTGACAATCGTACAACATTACTTTAGTTAAAAATAAAATAAAAATAAACGAAATAAATAAATCACAAGACTACTTAAGTAACAGTACAAGAAATTTAGCCTCAAGACATACTCAAGTAAGGATGATGGCAGTGAATTCTTGATTGTATTGTTCAGCTGAAAGTTATTTTAATTACTTATATTGAGCTGGGCAGTTTTATGTAGAATGTAATCTGTAAAAATCTGCAAAATAAGTAAGCAACTAAAGCTGTTAATAAATGATCGGGAAATGTAGTAGAGCAGAAGTACGATGACACATTTCGTACTGTAAAACATTTGAGTAACAGTTCTCAGCTACATTCCACAACTTGACTCCCTGCCATCCAGCTGGAATGAGTGTGATTATACTTATATAGCATCAGGTCAGCTGTTGCCTCAAGGTGCTTTATGTTGAAACTAACAATCAGACGATCATGATGAGCAAGCACTTGGTGAAAGTGGGGAGGAAAAACTCCCTTTGAACAGGGGCAGCCATCCGCCGTGACCAATTTGGGATGAAAGGGAAGAGAAGAAGGAGAGGAGACAAAAGACACACTATAAGAGACAACCAGACAAAACTTGAGCAAAAGCCTCACATGTGTGAGGAATACACAAACTGGGAAATATATTTGTGACCACAGTTAAAAAATAAGTTAAACACAGCAAACGTGTAGCAAATTGATTGAATAAGAAAAAGCAAATATGTTAATAAGATCCAAACTAATCTGAAATCAAAAGAAATACCACATGTCATGAACCACTGTCATTTCTTTACATTATATTGTGAAGGCACTGCAGCAGCTTTGAAACAAGTGCACAAATAAATAGAAAATACAGTATGTAAGCCAACAAGAGAGTTTCTGAAAAGCTTGAAAGTCAATGTTTGACAACCTTTATTATTCAACACAGACTTAACTCTCCCAGACAAGCTTTCCTGTAACTTCTTTAAGTAGTGTTCAGAAATAGTTCTCCAGGCTTTGATCTCTACCGTGTTTTACAGATTTCTGTAGACTCACTGTTGTACTTCTCTCCTGACCTTCAAACATATTAAACACAGTTTAAACTAAACTTTCAAGTGTGGATTAATCTCCCCATAACATCGTTGCCACTGATTTTTAGTCCAGGTCTTGTGTGATTTTGCATATCTCACCCTTTGGCTGGTAGTAATATAGTTCCTAAAGATACAATTTTAAATTGTTTGTTAACCTTCCTCTGAAAATGGTCAGGCACAACGACTGGATGGAAAATAAGCGAAAAAGTAGCCAATGTCCAAAGTAAACTTTGAAAGACCTCCAGGGAATCTGGAACAGTATTGCTCAAGATCACTTTAAAAAAGACACAGTACTGTACAATTTCAATTAAAAATAATGTTGTGTATAACATGAAACAGTGGGGCAGTGGTTAGCACTGTCACCTTACAGGAAGCGGGTTCCTGCTTCCTGTTCTCCTTGTGCCTGCACTGGTTGTGTCTGGATGCTCCAGCTTCCTCACACAGTTCAAATCATGCACATTAGGTTAGCTTGTAGTTCTAATTTGGCCATGACTGTGAATGGTGATCTTTCTGTGTTAGGCCTGTGACAGACGGGGAACCTGTGCCAGATAGGACGGAGGTGCACAACGAAGTAGATCAGAGTGTGTTAAGAGTTGCTGTTTGTTTAGTGACCTCCTCCCCACCACAGCTTCAGATGTTTCCAGGTGGCAGAAATAAACAGCTGAAATACACGTATGGTTTTTTGTTTTTATATTTAGAATTATTGCTAAATTATTCAGGTCTTCTTTGTCAGAAGTTATTAGGTATTTGTTCTGAAACACAGGATCGGTTTCTGTGGGCTTTACATTGAGTTTTACTAAGTTTTCAGAAGACTCCTTTTTCTTCCCCTTAAGGTCTTCGGGTACTCTGTAATAATGATAACTGGTGCAGGAGGAGGGCTAAAAGGAGCCCTGTTGTATTGTGGTAGCCCTGGAGTCCTCCTACAGGTTGAGCTCCAATCTTCTACATATTCTTACAGAAAGCAGTTTTGATGTGAGGTTTTACAGCAGAGGAAGGTGACGTTACATCAGTGGGTCTCTCTGGAAAGGCTGTTGGCTTTGTAATTAATTTTCATTGTAAAAATGTATCACACTCTTGTGTTTTAAATGTACTAAATTAGAGAAAAAATTAATAAATGTGTTAATTGATATTTGCACATCAAACATGAAGAACCAATATTCTGTCCAACCATCGGCACTTACAGCTGCAAGTCTTTTGGAGTGAGTCTCTCCCAGCTTTGCACATCGATCAGTGATGTGTTACTTTGTGTTGGTCATTGTCATGGTCCCTGGATCGTGGTTTTGAGTTTTTGGGTTTGGTTCATTAGTTGCCTTTGCTGCCGTTGATATTCACTTACTCTTCTTACTATTTGTAGTGTTGTTGCTTTAGTTTAGTTCATTGTATTTAGAAGTCCCGTATGATGAGTCTTCAGTTCTTGATAGTGATGGCTCTGAAGGTTATTTAGGTCCTTTGTTTTTCTGTTCCCTCTCCAATCCAATTTTATTCATAAAGCACTTTAAAATCCCCAGCACAGGACCAAAGTGCTGTACAGAAAATAAGTTAAAAGCAATAGAATAACACAAAACAGCAAAAATAAATAAATAAAACACAAAATACATAAAAATTAAAACAGCCCTATATTAAAAAAAACCCCAAAACAAGATAAAACAGCATAGAATCAACTAAAATAAAACCCTCTGCCTGTTCTGTCATTGTCACGTCATCCATGTAGTTTTGTCTCCTCGCTCTGTTCCTTTATCTTCTTTGCACTGAACTATCAGCATTAAAAGCTTATTTTCAGTTTCACATCTGTCCTGACATTGAATCTTCTAAAATTAAATAAGTGCACAGCAGAATATGACAATTATTAATTATATATAGAAATTGACTGTAGAGCTAATGACAGGTTATCAGCCAGAGTGCCTGCAGTTTTAAGTAACTTCATCATTAGGAAACTATAAACATAACTAACATGCAATGACTTGTGGAAACATCTTTTTCTTTTCAGGCCAGAGGAACTATCCCTGTGTGCGTGACGGTCACCCTGGCTGTGCCAGTAAAAACAATTAAACCTGTACCACAAAGGTGTGTTTACCAAAATATTTACCCTGATATGATTACTGTTACGTCACATCCTCTGAAAAATGTTTATCTAGTTTACACATTTGCCTATTAAGTAAAAGATCACAGGTTTGATCCCCTGCAGAGACAAATATCTTGATTTTTTGCAGGCAGAATGGCAGCCCGTGTGAAAAATCCACCAAATCAAGCAAGGAGAGGGCCCACTGTGGAATCCCCTTTCAAATAAGAGAGCAGCTGTCAAACTGTGCTGTGCAATGTTTCAGTCTGCCGCTGGTGTGGGAGCCCCATCCAGCAGGTTAGCTGATGCTCAAAAGATTTCGTCACATCCCCCACATCTGTGACCATTTTAATATGTATGTCTCAGGTATGTTATTGAATGTGACTGAAGAGTCACGCAACATTTAGTTGAGATCAGTTAGGAACTGAGCAACAGCTCTTTGCCCAAAAAGCCAGAATTTCTGTCCTGATATTGGACCTCATACACACGACACCAGGGCGAGACACTGTGTGTGCGCGGGTTTGAGTATTTTCTAGTTGACACCAAAACATACAGGGGGAACAATAATAATAATTTTTTTAAAAAATCAATGGAGTTAAAAGAAAGTGTGATATTTGCACTGATTGGTAGCAAGTTGATAGGTGGTAACACAAAGACAAACAGAAGGTAACACAGTATAGGGGAGAAAATCAAAGTGTGTGTTGTGATGCTAGAAGTATTTAATAAAACTCCATAAATTTAAGCCTTTACTTCTGACACAACTCTTCACTATGAATAAATAAAACACTTTATCACAAAGGACAGTCAGTGGCAAACATAAACATTTCCCTTAGTAAAAATACAGTACTTCAAGACTATACGTGTAGTATTCCAATATCAATATCTAATTTAATACAAGTGATTTCCTCCAACTATAACAAATAGTCTAAAGTGCAAAACAGACTTTGTCAAAAAAACATTTATAAAAAGTTCATGTTTAAAAAGAAACAACAACAAATGGTCAGTCATATTAAAGTTGCCTTCAGGTTTAATGTCCAGTGTGAACAATAAGCACCATGATTCCTAACTGTAACAATGTGCCAGATTTTTGTGTGTTTCCCAATATCCAGGCCCTCCCCTGTACACAGTAGGGACCCACAGGTTGTTCCTCAAACTGTGTGGGGCTCTATTCCGAGGCCTGTAGCTGTAGTGGGGCTGTGGAAGGATATGACCTTTTCCTGGTACCATCTTTTTGGGATGCCATATAGGAGCACATGGATTCATTTTCTTAAACGGATAAAAAGAGGAAAAATAAATAAGTTACATATATATAAGCTGCCAATTATAGTGGACAAACCAAAAAACAGTCATAATACTGTAGCTAGATCAAGCTTGACCAAGTCGAGTCAAGTAGGTACTAGTGTAAGAGGACTATTAGTTGACCAAGTTTTCATTGTTGAAATGGTTATTATTTATCATCATCACCTGGCTCCTTCACTCATTTGATCAAGTATAATTTTGATCATTTATGGGGTGAAGCTGAACCCAAGAAGCATAGGTGCAAGTTTGGCATGCAAACATACACCATCATTCACCAACTTCATGCATGAAATATTCTTTAAAACAATTCATCCAGGCCTTGGCTAACCATTTAGCCAGAGTGCTTACTGCAGTGTCTCCTGTTCAGAATCATTAGCCTGTGTTATCAGGAGTCTTGCTTTGTGTGTGCACTCAAATATTCATTGACAGCAGCAAAATGTTTCCTCTCATAAAAGACAGAATATATGTGAATGTAGGCAGCCCTCATTTCATGACAGAATACCTGGGAAGCAGAGCATCTGCTGGGGATAGTGAGGGGAGAAGTGCGGGCACTCTCCTCATCTGAAGAGGAACCAGAGTGGTAGTCTGATGTCACCCTCTCCAGTGCACTGGTCACCTTCTTTGAAACATCTTTGCCATCCTCATCGTCACTTGAGAAAGTGGCAACCGAGAAGCAAGGATTTTGCTCACCATACCTAATAATTAGGAGAGACATCAATAATTATTACCTTTAATTAAACACTTAGTAGGAAATTTGTTTAAGAACGGTTTTCTTTAGAAGATTTTAGGGAAAGCATATTACAAAACAAGAAGCGCCGTCTTTGTTCATAAGCATCTAATAACGATAAATGCAGGTAAAAGATTTTTTTTTTAATTAAACAAAGCCACTAGTTTATATCCAAGTTTCAACAAAATGTTTAACTGCTGTTTCATAAAGAGTGTTTTCTTGTTGCCAGTAGTCTCGTTTGAAATCACAGGAAAGCCTTGGGGTTAATGAAACTGTATTTACAGCCTCTTTCACCACTGCGCATGAAGCATGTGAGGAAGATTAACGTGAATGGGTCATCTCACGTAAAACCAGTTTGCCTTAATTATTGAGTGATACCAGTAGAGCTGGGCGATATGAGATTTTTTCATATCACGATATGTTTTTTTCATTTCAGGCG